TTCAATCTATTTATAACTTGTTTATATTAACGACACCGTTGTCAAATTTGCTTTTCATTTAAGGGCGCTTGGTAAACCTAAGATTGAAAAGAATGTTATATACACAAGGCGATAGTAGTGACACTCTAACGCAAACCCTTGAATTAAAATATAAACAGAATTCATTAAACGACCAAGTTAAACTCTTTTTAAAATTTAGTTTTTCTGCATCTCACAGCCATCTAGCGCTTATTGGTAAATGTTTTTGGTAGAGTCCAGTCGGCGTCCGTATAACGGACGCCCAGTGACCAAAGGACGCCGTTTGTATACGAAATTTAACATTGGAGGACGCCTAGTGGGATTATATATATATATATATATATATATATATATATATAATATATTTAAATAGGTAAATAAATATAAATAAATTTAAATTGAGAAGGTAAGTTTATACCTTAAAAATTAAAATTTTGACGAGATAGAAAAATCTTGTTAAATAAAGAATTTAAGTTAGTATCTCCATTCAAAGAGTTTCCATAGAATGTCTTCTTAATCTAATATATTATTTTGTGCGGCATCAGACACATTTAAAAATAATTTCAGACTTTTTTACAGCACAGTTTCCATGAAAATAATTTTTAGTTATAGTCGTCGCGGCGAATGTTTCAAATTGCGTCATCAATGTCGAATGTCAAAAACCGATTTCTCGACATACGGTTAACATAGCGGTTCCTTGAATTATATACGTAAAAGAAAACAACAATGTCTGCGCTTGGTTCAGAAATTGATAGGTACGCAATTTGAAAAATTCGCCGCGACAACCATACATTTGTATTTAGACGTCATTTTTTAATTTTTTTGTCAGACAAGCTCGCTCATGAAATTTCCATAAAAATAAACTAAATAATCAATTTTTAAGCTTGATCCTTTTTTGTTTTTAGAGTTTGAAATAATTTTTGAAATAAATGTTGGAAAATCTGTGACAAATAACACAAGTGTTATTTTCCATAGATTCTTTCAAAAACTCTAGCAACATCAGAGGATCTTGTTAATGGGTAAAACATTGATTAGTACAGTATATTTTTTAGGAAAATTAAAAAAAAAATTTTTTAGCACTTTTTAGAATTGTCATTTTAAATTTGGTGCTGCCAACTTAAAAAAACACAAACATATGACAGTTTTAAAACTTAATTTTGGCATTGTAATAACAAATTAACAATTTATATTTGTTGGTCTAAACCTGTCAATTGAGCGATTCTATTGAGTTTATATTACAGGAAACTCAGTGTTTAAAAGAAATAAATGGGATTTATTACACTTTAAAATTGCATCAGTGCAAAACTCCTAAAAATACACGCGTTACAATTTCTATCTTAGGCGCAATCCTTTGGAAAGATGATTCTTGGTTAACTACAGGTCGATTTTTTATTTTTTTTATCGGTAATCCCGTGCAATTGCTATATGTCGCTGCTAACATGTGTCTTATAAAAATAAAATAAAATATTGAGTTAATTTTATACGGAAAATACACTGTGAGACAAAGTTACCCGGAACCAGGGGGTAACTTTGCACACCCAGTTTTTAATTTTTATTTTTGAAACTAAGTCCTATGTAGTAATATATCATAGTTATTATGAAAGAGCAACTCAAGACTTAAATTTTGGTATACAATATTTAATGTTTATGATTGTTAAAACTAGATATGCGATTTGAAAAAAAAACGGTCCGTTTTTGTTTTTTTTCATATTTTAGGTTTTTTATTCAGGATTAGTCCCATTTGCCTAATTTTTTATGTTTCCAGTCATGAATTAAAATTAGCCACTAAATGACATTTAGTAAATGTAGATACAGTCTCGCGCTTTGCACGCGCCACCACCACCGAATTGACCAATAAGGGCCGCGCTTGTTTTGATTTGGTCCTAAAAAAAGTAACTACCTATAATATTTTTAATTCAGCGCTTGATTTTTCAAATTCATGTAGTGTAGGTATGGAAATTTTTACGGCTCCAATACGACCATTTTTAACGAAGATACAGCAGCTGTATTACAGCTATCCGAAAAAGCGCAAAAAAATTGGAATTTTTTTTATCCTTTAATTTTGCTATTGTTTTCTTATGTGGAAACTACCAAATAATAAAAAATCAGATTTTTTAGTCTCGGTCAAAATTTTCAATAATGAAAAATGTAATATATTCTACATTTCACTTTATAATTAATATACATTTTACTCAAAATTTCATTTTGAAAAATTACTCCATTTTTTAAGGTTGATGTTATTTATTGACAGAATATGCTTTATTGCTGCGAATTTGAAAAAAACAAAAAAAAAACGTTTTTTTCTACGTTTTCTCATGTGAAAAAAACCGTTTTTTACATCTCTAGTTAAAACCACAAAAATTTTAAGCTTAAGTTTGAAAGTTAGCTAAAGCCACCCGTGTTTACGGTACTTATTAAGTTTGTATGTTGTTTTTAGTTTGTAATGATATTTTAATTGGCAATAAAGTATTAATTTGTTAATTAAAATATAACGTTTAATTTTTTACTACATTGGCACCGCTGAATTTGTTGTCGTCCTACTGTTTTTACATGCTACAGTTTTGCTATAATATACGAAGGCGTAGAAGGGCCAACAAAATTTTTATAAGTTTTAGCCAAAACTAACTTTTATTTTTGCAATTTCTATTCTATAGTTCAAGTTACAATGGTAACTTGAACCTACAATTGTAAGTTCAAGTTACAATTGTAAGTTCAAGTTACAATGGTAACTTGGGCAGAAGTAGTGATAAGAAACAGAATGAAAGCATAAACATTCTCTAAATGACTAAATTTCCTTCTTACAAGATCGATTATGCACTAGGGGTGGGCAAAATAATCGATTATTAATCGATTATCAAACCGTCGATTATTTTTTTTGTAATAATCGATTATTCGATTATTTTATTATTATAATAATAATTATTATTATTTAAATAAATAATGTACTGTCTGTCCACGATAACTTGGGGGACCGAATGAATTAAGTTATTTAGTTATTCAACAATTGTCGTGTTGTGTGCTTTTAAAACGTATTTTTTATAATAAAAAATAATAATATTATATAATTTATATACAAATATATAATAAATAATAAATAATAAATAAAAATAAAAAAATATATATATAAATAATAATAAAAAACATAACTGAGTAGATATGTTTTTTAATATTATTTATCTAAATTGCATGAATATTTCTTTGCTCCGCCAACTTATAATAATGGTCAAACGCATTTTTTTTTAACTAATAATATTATCGATTAATAAAATACTCGATTATCAAATAATCGATTAATCAAATAATCGATTAATCAAAAAATCGATTAATTAATAATCGATTAATCGAAAAATCGATTATGAATTTCGATAATCGCAGCCCTAGTCTGCACAGAAGCCGTTTTAAGGTTATTGGGCTTATAAATACGTTATGCTGAAGCCCCATTTTGAAATATTGTTCCATAGCTAGGTACCTATTAAAAACACTAAATTGATTTTACTATAGAGAGAAGAAACAATAAACTTACCTTTAGGTTATCCTACAATTGTAACTTGAACTTACAATTGTAGGTTCAAGTTACAATTGTAACTTGAACCTACAATTGTAAGTTCAAGTTACAATTGTAAGTTCAAGTTAAAATTATATAATAGAAATTGCAAAAATCAAAGTTAGTTTTGGCTAAAAAATTTTGTTGGCCCTTCTACGCCTTCGTAATAATACAGGGTGTTATGTAATTAATGTTATATATTAAAATGGGTTGTTCCTTAGGGTCCATAAAGAAGCACCTGAAACTTTTTTTTCTAAATTCCAAAGTCTAAAAATAATTTATAATAACCTTTATCCTACCAAAAAGTACGCCACTGATCGACTAGGAACTTTAGGTTAATCTGGTGGATTTATTATGTTATGGTTGGTAACAACAGTTTTTCCAAAATCTCTCAAAAAAGTTGACAAGCATTGTTTAAATTTAGCTTTATTACAAAAATGACAAAATTAACAATGCAAATTGTCAATTTGGCGTTTTTATTAATTGTTGGTTATTTCATTTTTGTACTTAAAGGTAAATTCAAACAAAATCTGCCAACTTTTATGACAGAATCTAGTGCATTTCTTTTAAATTTTAGGTTATGTTTTCAAATTGTAAATATCTTAACTAAGGGAAGTGCTTTTGGATTTATTTACACAAATTAAATGTTTAAAGTTTAACCTGTGAACTGGTCCCAATTTCATCTAAGTAAACAGAGAAAAAAACTGATGAAAAAATTAATTTTGTGGTTATGGATTTCAAATTTCAAAGGTACTAAATTTTCTAATCATTGCTTAAGCTAATAGCTAATAGCAGTAAATAAATACAGAAGGGTATTAGAGCTTTAAGGGCATAAAACTTTTGTATTTATTGAGTTTTTATTTATTTTTTGCAAGAAAAATTTTTGGTAACAATTTTTTACATCTGGCAACGCATAGCTACTTTGTTGGTTGGTATCTATGTACTCACAAAATACAGGTGTGCAGAGATAAACAAGTGTGTAACCAGTGGCGTATCACAAAAAATATAAAAAACTTCTAAAGCATATTTTTTCTTTATCTTTGGAAAAATGTTTTTTTTGAAATATTTTTCCTTTATTCCTTATGTCAAAAGGTATTCAGTATTTTAATATATAACATTAATTACATAACACCCTGTATAGTATATTATACTATACTCACATATTTAGAGAAATAAATGACAATACCACTATAGTGGTAATTTTTTGTCTATAACAATTTTAAATGACAAGATAAAAAATATTGTTTTTAAATATTAGAAAAGATTGTAAAAACCAATTTTTTTAATTTTATTTTATTTTATGAGTTAAAAACTTGATATTTTCGAATAAAATATGAAAAAAGATAGTAAAAGCCATTTTTAATGTCTATTTTGGTAGATATAGACTAATACTAAATAACCAAATAGATGTGGAGGAAATTTAGAGCTTATAACTGTCTTACCCAGCCTTAACAAGATCAAAAATGGACTTGTGCTGCTGCTCGGCGATGTCGGCTTCCCCCAGGCCCACGGTGCCGCCGTCGTGGTGGTGATGGGTGACGGAGGCGGCCGGATGATCGGTGTCCGCCACCATGTTGCACGAGGTCTGCGGCAGGGCCCAGACACTGCGGGCCGCTCCCGGGCTGGGAAACACTTTTGACAGCGTGTTGCTGGGCACTGCAAGCCCCGCCAACGCCAACCCGATCTCCAACTTGTTCACCGCCACCGCAACTTGATTGTTTCCACTGAGATTTTTAAACTTATATAATAAAAAGGCCTGGTTTTGACGTGTTTTGGTTTAATTTTAGGGTTTTTCGTGAATTTTCATCGGGGGTGGCACTATTTACATTGTTTGTGTTGTGTGTTTATTGATTGGGGGCGGTCATGGAGCACGCGCTGTGCTGTTTTAGGTTAATACAATAAAATTACCTCTTGACATGAACTTTTAGATTTGTAAGATGTGTTAACGATTTTATCCTAATTAGGTTTAAACTTTGTATACCGGGTGTCTCTTTAAAAACAAGCAATGCTCTATTAAAATAAGTCTAGACCTAAAAAAATTCTCAAAACCGTATCTACGAGGTGTATTCAGAAAATATCGGGAATTTTCGTTTTTTGAAACAAATATTTATTTATTCGTCTACATTAATGTTGTCGCCTTCAAAATAGTCCCCATTGGATATTATGCACATGTGCCAGCTCTTCTTCCAATACTCGAAACACTTCTAAAACTCGATCTTTGAGATAGCCTTTAGTTCTTTCAGCGATGCGCTTTTAATGTCATCTATGCTTGCAAAACGACGGCCCTTTAAGGTTCTCTTTGTTTTTGGGAATAGGAAAAAGTCAGACAGAGGCATGTCTGGCGAATATGCAGGCTGGGGCATCATTACAGTATTGTTTTTGGCCAAAAATTTTGTTCAAAATTTAACAATTTTAGAACAAATTTTGCTGTCACGCGTTTCATACCCAAAACATTCGAAAAAATTTCATGAGATAAGCCAATCGATATACAAACATCATCAGCGACTTCTCTGATGGCTTATAACCATTTCTACCACTTTTTCCATGTTTTTATCCGCTGTTAATGTGCTTGTGCGTTCGGGGCGTTCGTCATCTTCAACGTCGTCACGGCCATCTTGGAAACTCTTATACCACTTGTAAACTATTGTTTTACTTATAGCAGACTCACTGTAGGCCTTTGTTAACATTTCACAGAATTTATTTCATTTTTTTAAGCAAAATTGGATACAAATTCTTTGATCCATTTCTTTTAACGAACGAAAAATCGCCGAGCTCATAAAACCCGTCTAACCTTAGCGGCTGCCACAGACAAAGTAAACAATGAAAACAGCTAAAGTTTTTATCATACTTCGGGGGCATGTATACCAACATAATAAAGAAAATTTTATGACAACCGGACCCTCTTAACCCGCGAAATTTAACAATTCCCGTTATTTTCTGAACACACCTCGTATATATAGGATATGTGGGGGAAATCAGTATGGCAACAAAAATTACCTTCACTAAGCAACCTCCAAGGCTAAAACCACCCCAACTCAATTTTTTTAAATGACAAAGCCAAATTTTACAACCAGCCAGTGTTACCAGATTCTGTCAAAAAAAGACCGTACGTTTCGTTCGAATTTACCTTAATTACAAAAATGACTCAATGGACAATATTAAATAACGTCAACTTGACATAATTGCATTTATTTGTATTGTTTCATTGTGTCATTTTGTAATTAAGGTAAATTCGAACGAAACGTACGGTCCTTTTTTGACAGAATCTGGTAACACTGCAACCAGCTCTTAAGCATATTTATGACTCACATTTTTGCCAGGGTGTAGTTTATTAAATGCCACTGCAGTTCGTAGAGCACAACGATTTTGTTCACCATAAATAAAAATAATTTCAACACGTTCAGCCGTTGTGTAAACCATTTTGGAAAACAAACAATACTATTTAATAGTATTTTATTATGCAAGAGATAATGCAGGCTATTATTCACAAGGATGAGGTTTGGATCTCGACCCTTCAGGCGAGAGACGTTAATTATCTGAGTAAAGAATGCGAATTATTTCCAGTGTAATACTAATAGTATTACACTGGAAATAATTCGCATTCTTTACTCAGATAATTAACGTCTCTCGCATATGCTTTTCTTACTCCAATTAAGTAGGTAATTGTCGTAAGAAATATCATAAGGGCATCTAATTTTTCCGAAAAAAATCGAAAAAAACACGTTGCTAAGTAATATTTTAACAAGAAGCATGAGTGCTGGTGGCAACAAAAATCCGAGTCGAAGAGGAGGATTTTTGCACTTTTTGTTAAAAAATATTACTTAGCATTGTTTGTTTTCGATTTTTTTCACAGGAAAAATTAGATGCCCGAATGGTATTTGACAAGACTATTTCATGAGTAACAGTTAACAATTAAAATATAAATTGAAATTTTTGGTGACAACAGCTGTCAAGTTTTGCCTCGAAAAAAACTGCTGACAGGTGCTGTCACATAGTTTTTTCACCTAGAAACCATTTGTAATTCAAAATTGCGCGTTTGTGATTGGTGGAAATTAAGACGAGGGAAATAGTCATTGATAACAAAATTTATTATAACCTCACTTTTTCCCGATTAAAAGATCATTATAGTCGCCCCTCGTAATACGAGGCTCGTATATATAGACAAATCTGACATCTGTTAACCTTACTTTAAAACCCGATTGGTTAAAATAACAGTGAATAATGAAATCAGCCAATCACTGATGCCGAACAACGTGAATATTAAACTCATTATTTACGTTGTTAGGCCGGTTATATTGGTTTTCATTATTTACGAAAAAACCCAAATAATGTCAATAATATGCAATAGGAGTAGAAAAAATTATTAAAACTAATCAGCATGAATAGCAGTCTTTTTTTGTAAGTTTTTATAAATCTGACCAACACCAAAAACATACACATGTAAGGATTTAAATTGTTTAATAATGCCAATACATATATTTCTCGCCAAAAATTTCAAGACCATTTAAAAAAATATTGTTGAACAATTCGTTTATTTATGCTTTTTTATTTTATTATACTTTTGTTAGAATTGTTTTGTGTTCTCCAGATTTTTTACTAATGTTTTTAGAACAACGAAATGATTTAATAAAAATTATTTTGCGTATTTCTTGAAAAAAAAGTATTTTGTTTAGTAGGTACCTACCTACTATTTGCAATTTTCAAGACCTTTCCGGTATCGCAAAGAGGGCGTTGCCATGTAAAAAAATGAGTTGGGGTGGACTACAGCCCCAGGGGTTGCTTAGTAAAGGTTATTTTTATGGTCATACTGATTACATATCCTAGAAACGGTTTTAAGAAATTTTTGATATATTTTTTAGGTAAAAACTTATAGAGCATTCCTCGTTTTTAAATAGACACCCTGTATATTAATTTGTAAAGATTTAATGGTTGTTTTTAAAAATTCTTATCAAAATAATTTAATTAATGAAATCTTGTTTTTTGTTTATAATATTCAGAGACTAAAATCAGTGGCGGAACAATTTATCCCGGCGCATTCGCCAATTTTGTAATTATTTAAATATATTTTGTACACTAGATTTATCTAAGTAAATATTATTATTATTATTATTATTATTATTATTATTATTATTATTATTATTATTATTATTATTATTATTATTATTATAGTATACTATACTATATTTGGTATACATATATATAGGCACATGGATTGTGCCTTAGGGTGGTCGTTAAAAATTAAATTTTTTGCGACGCCCCCTAAAAAGCTTTTTGATGAAAAAACACTGGGAATTTTTTTTTTTTTTTTTAATTAAAAACAACACGTGCCTCAAGACGATCCAAGTTAACTTTTTGGTATAATCATGTTTTTTTGGGAATTTTTTATGAAAAATAAAATTTTATTCGAAATATAAACAATTATAGAACCCAAATCAATAAAAAAACAATAGTTAATCAAAATAACAATACACAAAAACTTAATTTCAAAATTTTTCCCAGTTGCTTTGGTCTATTAAATAAAAAATGAAGATATTTAAATTGATATTTTTATTTAAAAACTAAATTAGTACAAACGTAATTTTAATATCTAGATTTCTTCATAGGTGAAGTTAATGTTTATAATTTTTAAATCTCAACAAAGTTATTATCCCATATTTTCAGAAAAGACATGATTATACCAAAAAATTAACTTAGATCGTCTTGAGGCACATGTTGTTTAAAAAAAAAATTCCCAGTGTTTTTTCATCAAAACGAAGCTTTTTAGGGGGCGTCGCAAAAAAATTAATTTTTAAGGACCACAATGGGCCTATAGGTTTTGTTTTAAATTTTAAAAAATTATGTCGGAATGTGTATAATTAATTATGTTTTATTTTAACTTGTCATTATTTTAGCTAAAATTGGGGGATTATTATTATTATTATTATTTAACAAAAAAGTTCTTTTTAATTAAAAACAAACTTAACGTTAAAAATACTTTTAAATTCACTCGAGTGATCTGTACCAATTATTTCAAATTCAGTCAAATTTGAAAATCTCTGCTTTTGCGGTCAAGCAGTTATGACGTCACTTTGTAGTATGTTTTCACTGAAAACTTTTCACATTTCAAGCAATGTTGCCAGATGTAAAATATTTACGATCTTTAGGAAAATTTGGTATGCAACCCATTTTATTAAAATAATTAATTTTACAGAGTGACTCAAATAACTATATAGTAATATATATTAGAAATTTACTTGACCCCTTCTATTTGGCTAAAATTGTTATGTTAAACCCCACTAAAAATGTGATTTTCTTTTATTTGTACTGACAGAAATTTAAAAAAATGATGCTTTTTTTGAAACGATGCTAATTTTCTCAAAAACTACCAATCGAGACGTTTTTCTTCTCAAATGTTTGTTTTTTAAATAGGCTTTTGAGAAAAAAATATTTTTTCTACAACCAAGCGCAAAGTGCAAATTTGCGCTTCCAAAAGAAAGTTTCCAAGGAGCGAGCGTTTTTTTACTTTGTCGCTCGCTTAGTTACCATGGAAACCATAATAAAGAAACGTTTAGTGTATTTGCTGTAATGTCCGGACTTAAGGCATTGAGAGGTGTTACATTAGGGTGGTAATGAAACGCTGGTGGTCGGCTTGAAGGTTCGTATCGAACTCTCTTTATTCAATAATGATATATTTTATTACAATTATGATGTGGTCAAATAATGCTTATTGCACAGTTTGCACTTTGCGGATTATTGACCTAAGAATGTTAAGTGTCATCATTATGTACAGTGAATGAACTATGTCTCTGCACTACACCTTCCCCGAAAAATTAAAAAAAAAATGTTTTTATATATTTTTACATTTTTTTTGCGACTTCTGACACAAACGTCAAATTTGAGGTTATCAATAATTATTAATTTTTACCAAACATTCTTATAGAAACACCGGTTGTAGAAAAAATCCTGTGTGTAATTCGAGCGGAAAGTGACATTACCGCTCTCGCGAGATAGCAGCACTCCGATACGCGTCGCGCGTCAAACTTCTCGCTCAGAGCGGCAATGTATCACTTTATCAGTTTATTAGAAAAAAACATTAATTTTTTTTAATTGGACATATTTTATTTATTTTTTCATAAAAAAGTTTCATTTATTCTGCTGCAGAATTTCTGCATTTAATTTATAATAAAATAAAATGGCAAACTTGTTCTCTTGTTTTCTCAAAAAACACTAGTGGACCAACTTTTTTTCTAATTTTTAATTATTCCATAAAATTTCTTAGTTTTTTAGAAAAAACATTTTTTTTTTCAAGTTTATAATTTTTATTATTTTTTTTATAAAAACTTTGATTTATTCTACATGGGCCATTTTTAAATATTTTACAAAATTCCTAATTTTTTTGGAAAAAGCTTTTTTTCAAAGTTATTTTTTTTTCATAAAAATAAAAAATGGCGAACTTTAACTGGTCAATACCGTCAAAGTACTTTTGGTAAATTCAAATGGCCAAGACAAAAACAAAACATTTTATAATAATTTAGAACGATTTTTATAACAAAAATGAAGAATCCTAAACCATAATACACAATGTTATTATGTTTACGTAACAAATCTTATCAAATGCATTATTTTCCACTTATATCAAATTCAAACAAAAGTTTTAAATAGAACAAATAAACATTAATATGCATGCACCCCAATAATGTCACTTAGGAATCATTTATATTTAATTCAATTTACACAAAATAAACACGATACCTACAACCCTATTTTTAATACAAAAATTCGATAAACATTTTTTTCCACAAGGGTGCAAAAAGTTGCACTTTTGCGCTCGCTAAGCAAAAATAAATCCCTTAATTATTTAAGCTACACGTTGACAGTCGCATTGTTAGTTAAAAACCTATAAAAACAATAATATTTGAACGCATACAATTCCGCGCCACAAATCCTTGACAGATCACATGACCCGAAACAAATGACTCACGACCACAGCTGTTTGTTGACAGTTTTTACAAAGAACCACAGTGCACAGAACATAAATATCTATGGTTCGAGATGACGTTTATGGAATAGGTTAGATTTCACCAACAAAATACTTTATTTTACCAAATTCGATGGCTTATTCGGTAAATACCACCCCTTTACTGCAAGAATGTAGTTCTGAGAGCGAAGATGATCTAAATTCCGTTCCAAATGAGGTTAATTTTAAGGAGACTAGGGGGATTTTTCATTCAGAACCAAAGGACAAATATAACAAAACCTATTTTATTTTCTATTTGCTGGGAATCGTAACCCTATTACCCTGGAATTTTTTTATAACTGCGGATGATGTAAGTATATGAATATTATAGTTTAAGGGGTGTTATAAAATGTGTTTTTTAGTATTGGATGTATAAATTTAGAGATGTAAACAATACTAAAGGTTTAGGTGAAAGAATGGTTACAAAAAGGACTCCTATGCAAGCTAGTTTTACCTCGTATGTCAGTGTATGTTCAGCAATACCAACACTAGTTTTTTTAGTACTTAATACCCTTCTAATGGAAAAGTAAGTTACATATGATTATATGGGGTGTTTACAATTCTGCTGTTTTTATTTTAGGATCTCATTAAATAAAAGGTTTCTGGGTTCACTTATATCGATGTTAATATTATTCTTAATTACATTGGGCTTTGTATCCGTAGATACAGACACATGGCAAAAAGACTTTTTTGCAATTACATTACTTACTATAGTACTTTTAAATGGTAAATAAATATTAATTATTAAGTTTGTATAATCAATTTTTTTTGCATATATCCTGTTTTCTGTTGATCAGAGGTCAAAATTTCATATATACCTACAACACAAAAAAGGTGGAATTTGTGTCTACAATGAAATTTTGGGGCCCAACTCCACATTTTTTTTTTCAAACCTGTGTAACTTCTATGAAAGTGTCAAATTTTGATTAAGCTTTAGGATTTTACTAAAAAAACGCAGCTATTAATACGTAATTACTTGAAAAATACTTATTACATATTTTGTAGAGAATTGAAAAATATACAATTTTTTGTTCACACTGTGTCCTCCAATCAATACTAAGCCAGATATATGCACAATAACGGTTTTTCAACAAAAAAACATTTTTATTTTTAGTATCTAGTGCAATACTATCAGGATCCCTATTCGGTGTAATCGGTAAATTCTCGCCAGTTTACATCACCGCAACAATTGGAGGCCAAGCTCTAGGTGGTATATTTGCTGCCATAGCCGAAATAGTATCCCTTTCAATAGGGGCCTCATCTATTCACTCAGCGTATATGTACTTTGGTATTGGGTCAATTACAATCATTATTACGATAATTTGTTACATAATACTCTATAAATCCACTCATTTCAAACACCATGTGTTTAAGAAAATGGAGCTTGATTATCAGGTTGATTCCCTTGGGATGCAGACTTTGTCGTACAAGGTTGTTTTAAAGAAAATTTGGGTGTACGGTTTTACTTTGATGATTTGTTTTTTGTTTACAATGGCTGTATTTCCTGGTATAGCTGTATTAATTGAGTCAGAAGGCAAAGGTCATGGCAATAAGTGGAATGGTAAGTTTGAATCACTGTAACTTTTTTGTTTTAAGGGATTATTGCCTAGTTGTTAATTTTGTTTTTTATTTAGGACTAATTAAAAACCGTGTTCAGATTATTTTTTTGTTTTTGAGATATTTCCTTTTTATTAATGGTTTTTTAGACTTAATGATAGTGATTTTTTTGTTTAACTTTTCTATTTAATTAGATAGTAAAATCTTGTACATTAAAACAGTAAAAAAGTAACCAGTATTTATTAAGGACTAATACCTACAGTATTAAATTAAATCTCAATTACACCAAATTCACAATCTGAGTTGTATTTCAGATGTTTTCTTTGTGCCAACTATATGCTACCTACTATTCAGTGTCGGCGATTATTTTGGACGAATTATAGCTGGAAAATTACTTAGGGTAAAAAACAAAAAATAGGTAAATAAAATAACTTTTAATTTTTAATTTTTTTTAGCCAAAAAGTGGTACAATCCTACTTATTCTTTGCTTATCGCGGTTTATATTTATTCCTCTAATTATGCTGTGTAACGCCCACCCCAGAAAATATTGGGGGGTAGTTTTTGATAAAGATTATGAATATATTCTGATTACTATAGCATGTTCACTGAGCAATGGTTATCTGGCGAACATTACCGCCATCTATGCGCCAAAGTAAGTACTAAAGCATATAATATGTAGCTGTTTATCTTGTGTTTCTAGTAGAAACTTTCTACCTACGACAATAAACGATAATGAATTAATTATTACGTTAGTGTCTACTGTATTGTTTCACTTCCTTAATATTAACATATAATGCTTGTTTTTTAGAGTTGTGGAAAATCACGAGAAAGAACTGGCGTCCATGATGATCACTGTATTTTTGGGTATAGGATTGGCTTTTGGATCTGTCATTAGTTTAATTTTAGTTAAATTTTTGTAATATTAATATTTTTTTATTTAATCATATTTTATTTCTATGACTCAAATACTTTTTTACCTATTTATATTATTATGTATAGAAAATGTACATATCTTTTTACTGCCCCATTGTGATATTTAGTTAAATTTTAAGGACTTTTATTATAAATAAATATACCCAAAAACATGGTATTATTATTAACCTACCTAAACTTGACTTTTAAAATAGATAAATATTTCGCGAAAACTTGGCACTGCCTTTTATAATAATATAGTGGGCCATACATTACGACGCCTTCTTGATATTTTAAATTTGGACGCCGTCTGTTTGTTTCGAAAAATAAAAATAGGTGTTAAATAATAGAAACCATAGAAACTATAATTTTACAGGGTGGAATCCTGGAAAAGTTACCTCTATATTTTTTATTTGTAGAAAAAAGAAAACTTGTGTAATGAAGGATAAAGCACTTTTTTAGGAATAAATTAATAAAACCCGATTTTCAATATCAATGTTGGTGGTTTAGATAATTTGATTTTTTGAAAATATTTTATTTTACAATTCTTTGCCACAATCTATTTTGTTTAAACTGTTAAATAATTTTGTGTTTTAGAAAAATTGACATTTTTTAATAAGAAATAAACTGGTAAAAATATAATAATAATAATAATAATAAATGAAATTTATTGCAAAAAAAAGTTAATACAATTTCTTACAAATGGCCATTGACCGAGGTCCTTCAGCCGGTGAACATATCCTGAATATATGTAACAAAAAAAAAAAAAAACAGTATATAATCGTGAAATTGAAATTAATTAATTAGTATGTTATCTCGTGTTTGTTTAAGATGTTCCCATATGGTCTTCTCTGGGTGCTTGAACTTCCTGTTGCCCTGTACCTCCAAACACAACTCGCTCAGAATGTTGTAGTTAGCGTCCTTGCTAATAAAGTTTGTAGATAATTTGATAAATCTTTCCATAATTGGTAAGATATTGAAGGTAGCATACAAAAGGTCGTTGGGAGGGTTGTGTAAAAATATAATTTAAATATATCTTTAGTTTTTAGTTTTTTTTTAATTGGACATATTTAAATGTTTTTTAACATTCTTAAAGTTTACCAATTTTTGATAAGGCATAAAAATTTAAAACTACATAATTGTGCTTTTTTGAAAAATAGACATTTTAAGATGCCTTTGTAAGATTATTTAGAAAACATTGTAAATAAAAAAGGCCAGTTTATAATAAAAATTAAAGAATTGAAAAGCAAAGAATTAAAAATTATTATATTATGGTTTCTGCAAATAAATCACCAGAAAAATATGTTTCCTATGACCATTATATATAAATATGTAAAAGTCACATTTTGTAATGGCATCGTTGCTTACAAAATTAATCCTTTAATTGGCAAGGCAAAACTCGAATGTAAAAAGATCTGTTTGAAAAGTGACAGGTCTGTGTGAAAAGAAATTAATTATTTTGTTTGTTATATGAAAATAATAAAAAATAAAAAGGTCGTTAAAAAAGCATTGTATTTTACTTTTGAGAAAGCTTTAAAGCTTTCTTTAAGTTCGTGTTAATGCACACTCGGCCTAACGGCCTCGTGAGCGACTTAAACACTCGCATGAAAAAGTCGCTTTTCAACACTTGTATAGCAAATAACTATTATCTACTCCTTCATTAATAAGCTGTGACTTAATGGCGTTTTTGTCACGGTCTGAAGTTCGCAACAGTGGCTTTTGGGCATTTTAGTCACGGGCTAAAGTTAGCTTTACTATAAATTTAGAAAAATTGAAGTTAATTAAATCTGTTGACAGATGTCAAATGATTAATAAATAAAATTGGCTTTAAATTCTTTTTTGTGTTCGTCGTAGATAAAGTATAGTCACAACTCATTTTATAAACTTCTATACACTTTTTTTATCGGTCGCTTCGCTCGTGCCTAATTAAACTCGTAACTAAAATGGCGTTTATAAAACTTGATACATAATTATGTATTTAGTTTATAAAAATACTATTATAATGCTGATTATAATCTAAAATCATATACTTTATCTATTATTTATAGATACCTATACTCATTGCAAACATGTTTATGCATATTTTAGTAAAATTATTTTAAAGTTATTTTTGCCCAATAATGTTAGATAAATGGTATAAACTATGACAACACTTTTACTTATATTGTTAATTACGTATGGAAAGTGCATGTGCAATTAAATCTATAACCCAGATTCTTAAATCGCATTTTAACAACTCCAAAGAATGCACTATAACCGGATCAGAGGTACTGAGTACGTCCCTGTGTAAATTAAAAACCCAGTGGTGGGGGCGACTAGAAACGTCAAGGTTGATTTTTCCCGAAAAAAATAAAATAAAATGTCTTACCATAACATTAAAAATCGTGCAGTGAAATTGCGGAAATAGATGGTGGAGACAGACAGCGTTTGAGTTTTAATTATCACACAAAGGTTCGTGAATATTTATAACCTTAATGTGAAGTTCAGGGATAGCAAACAAACAGAAGCAGTCATGAAGTGGATTACGAGCTTGGAAGGCGGACCAAAAAGGGTGAACCACGCTGCTGTGGCAGTAGACCATAAAATTTACACTTTTGGTGGGTACTGCACAGGGCAGAACAGTAGAAAGTACAAATCGATGGATGTACATGTACTAAACACAACCACATTCAGGTGGACAAGACACCCTGTATCTGACTTGCCCTACTTTGAGAATGACGACATACTCCCCTTTAAAAGATATGGTCATACAGCTGTAGTCTATGGTAACAAAGTGTACATTTGGGGTGGTAGAAATGACAAAGAATCGTGTAGTGTTTTATTCTGCTTTGATACTGAATGGCATTGCTGGACAGCCCCAAAAACGACAGGCAGTATACCTTTAGCCCGTGATGGACATTCAGCATGCATTTGGAGGAATTTCATGCTTGTTTTTGGAGGATATGAGGACGATTCTGGCACTTTCGCTACTTCATTATGTTACTTGGATTTAGAGAAAATGCATTGGTCATATGTGCCCCCAAAAGGTATTAACAGTCTTAAGATTTTCTTGGTATTAAACTTTTTTTTTTAGGTGTGGCTCCTTCGGTTAGAGACTTTCACACAGCAGTGTGCATAGATGATAGAATGTATGTTTTTGGTGGACGAGGTTCAGTCCAAACGTCAAATTACGTTGAAGACGAATCTTACTGTAATGATTTGTGGTATTTGGACTTGCGCCATTTTGAATGGCATCATGTTTGTGCTCAAGGTGTCATTCCTGTTGGAAGAAGAAGCCATTCAGCTTGTAAGTCTCAAAGTGTGTTGTTTTTGAGGTTATGTTGGTTTGACAGATACAAAAATGTGTGTATTTTGAGTACTCCCTAATTTGTGAAACAGATCATATTATAGAAAATGTCTCATAACTCCTTTGATCAGGTGCAGCCAAAGAATTCAGGTGCAGCCAAGCAAGCTTTGTCAAATACACCCCAAAATATTTTGTTCTCCCCTCAAGCAAAAAAGCTAATAAAAAATGGTCTGCCACTGTGGCCAAGTACGTTTTATGAAATGCGTAACATTTTGTGGCCAAGTAATTTTTTTAGCCATTCCACGTTACTCAATTTTTGTAGCGTCCGTAATTATAAAAAATTGTAAGAAAAAGCTACCGTAAGTAATTAAATTAAATACTATCGCAATAGTTACTATTGCAAACATGTTTATTATGCTTGTAATAATTATGCTTAAGCTAATAAGTTAAATAATTATATTAGTTTTTACTCAAAATTTTTTATTATTACGGACGCTACAAAAATTGCCGAGTAACGTTGAATGACCGTTTTATCAAATGCATCCTAGAATTGATAAGTACAGTTGTATTAATAAAATAAGTGTACAATAATTAGAATAAGAGAAAACTGTCACCATAGTGCTTGCTTAAAACTGGCTTATCACTCACTTAAGTCATTATAATAATTATTATTGAATTTCGTTATTAAAAATGCAGAGCATTGACGTCGTCAATGCTCTATATTCTTTATAACCTATAATAATTATTTTAATGACTTATGTCAGTGATAAGTCGGTTTTAAGCAATAATATTAATGTGACAGTTTTCTTTTATTCTAAAGCCTGATTTATAGATTGCATTCCTTCCTTCCTTCCTTCATCCCGTAAAAGATGAACAATACAAAATCCGTTGTGCTGTTTATAGATTCCCGTACGGGAATCCACGATTTTTGTATTGTTCTTTTTTTACGGGAGGAATGAATACAACTGTACTATGCTCCACACCTCAAAGTCCCACCACGTGACCACGTACGGAACGCAGTCTTTTGAAAATTTGGCATTTAAGGCTTTTCAGGTTATGTATCTGTCAATGTATAGTCAACAAAAGAAATAATATTATGTTTAGGCGTTAAAAATGTATAAATCTTTATAACATTAGAATAACAATGGATGGTTTAAGAATTTAAGAATATAATTATTGCATTTAATGAAATTCTAAAGTGTATAAGTAATATTTTTGTGCATTTGGTCCAAATATCTGGTTTTCTCAATAAAATAATTTTAACTAAACAGCATTTATTTAAAAAAAATCTAGCTTCTAGAAGAATATCTGTATTAAAGGTAGGTTAATATTTTATAACAAAAATATCATCTAATTTTTTAATTTTAAGGTTAAAAAAATTATTTTGACCAAAATAAATAAGTATTTTGGAATATTTAAAAGACTGTATAATATGGTATTTAAAAATGTGGTACTTTTTTTTAACCAGCTTAGGCCCAGTTTCATAATCATTAAAAATGCTCCTTTAATTTAAAGCGACATAGGATTGTGACCGACTACTAACATATTGCAAAGTAGTCGGTCACATTCATATGTTACTTTAAAATAAAGGAGCCTTTTAACTGATTATGAAACTGGACCTTAAAGTGTACCTACATAAAGTTTTGTCAATACAAATAGATAAAAAGCTTCGACTGAATTTGATCTACATCAAAAAATCATTATAACTTTAAAATGTTTAATATATCACATGTCATGGGAGTATTAAATATTTTCACAAGTTTCTCTAAAAATTGTTTGTTTTCTTATAATCTAATTTAAAGTAGGTATGCCAAGAGGTATGCACAAGTTTTGTTGTTAGAATTATAAAAGCTTCAATTTAATTTGAACTATATTCAACAATTATTTAGTATACCTATATTTATTTATGACCATATTAACACACTCTTTCAAATAATCCACTTATTTATTTTGGTGAAAATAGATTTTTCTAACCTTAAAATAAAAAATTAGATGATATTTTTGTTCTAATACATTAACCTACCTTTGATACAGATATTATTATTTCATAATAGAGAAGTTAGATTTTTTTATTAAAAGCTGTTTAGTTAAAACTATTTTATGGAGAAATGTAGACCCAGTGCACAAAAATATCACTTATATTGCACCTTACACTTTGGAATTTCATTAAATGCAGTATATATATTCCTAAATTCTTAAAGCAACCATTGTTATTGTGATACTATAAAGATTTATTAACTTTTAACGCTTAAACATAAGCGGTAACACTATAAATATTATTTATTTCATTGACTATACTTTGACAGATACATAACCTGAAAGGCCTTAAATGCCAAATTTTCAAAAGACTGCGTTCCGTATGTGGTCACGTGGTGGGACTTTGAGGTGTGCAGCATAGTACATTGCAAAAATTATTTTTAGTATACAAAAAACATTTAAACAATTGTTTATTAATAAACGAAACACCAGCGTCCTCTTATCTTAGGAAGATTTTTGTATACATAAAGTTTGGACTCCTTTTGTAGGCTCCATGATCTGTTCCCTAAGACGTCGTCTTAAGTCCATGTCTGACGGTGCAACTTCTCGCAGCGACTTATTGCGGCAACCACTTGTAGCGACTTTCTCGCCTCTAGGCCCTAGAGTCTAGGGTGTTCACACGATGCAACCAAATTGACGCTATTTTCCACTAGGATTGCGAACTTAACCGAAAATTACCAAGTTGAAAAATTTTTCGTTGTAATTATTTTGGGGTGTAAAAACCCTATGAGCCTGTTTGGTTTTATTTTTTCAGGCATGTAATTAAAAAAATGCATAGATTATAAACGCAAATCACAAGATAAAACTCATTCCAACCATAATATTTAGTGAAATCCCTACAAAAGTTACAAAGTCGCCGCGACTTTATTGCATGAAAATAGAACATGTTAGACAAGTTTAGACAAGTAAGATCATCTGATTAGTTTCATCGTGTGAACAGTGTTCACTGAACACCAAAAAATCGCCGCGAGAAGTTGCACCGTCAGTCATAGGCTGTTTTACAAATTAGAGAGCACTGGTTTTTGACAGTTGTTAGAATTTCATGGCTTGCCTTTTTATAATGATTTTTGGAGACGTCATAGAAAGCTGAATTTACCTGTAGAAATGTCAAAAAATTTGCAATGCCTACAAATAAAACGTTGTTTTTTAGTTGTTTATAATGAAAAAATGTACGTTTTTGCTGGTTATAACTCCCTTGTAGAGAAGCATTACAATGATATGTATGAATACAACCCAAAAACAAATATATGGAAAAAATTGTCAATAACTGGGGTGCCCCCTTGTGAGAGGAGACGGCAAGCGTGCATTTCCGTAGGGGATAAAGTTTTTGTTTTTGGTGGAACAAGGTACATAAAATCAATTTTTTTTATATGGGAAAATTAATATTTTTATTTGTTAGTCCAAATCCAATAAGAAAAAAGGAATCTCAAGTCATAGATGAAAACACAGATGAAAACACAGATGAAAAACTTGTCGATCACAGTGACATGTTTGTTTTGGATTTTAACCCCTCCCTTAAATCACTAAGTCTGATAGCTGTAAAAAAATACAATCTTGAAAAAAAGGTGGCTGTGAGAAATTTAAAGTAAGTCCCCACTATTTGACAGATGTCAAGTTACGTCACAAGATGGCCGCAACAACTTGACAGCTGTCAAAATGGCGTTTTGAGGTTATATATGTTTTTTTATTTCAGAACTGAAATTTCCAATATGTTTTCGCCTAATTGTATAACGGTGAAGCGGCCCAAACCTAATAATTCCGCTGGATAGTCGTTATTTAGTTTTAAATATTGTTGGAATGGTTGTAATGAACTGTTTCCCATGTATATTTTTTTTCTGTATATAGTAATGACCTATGTAGGTGTTTTTTGTGTTTTTATACTATATCTGAAGTTTTGGTGAGTACACAGTTATTTTTTGTATGTATACAGGTGTGCTGCCAAGTACTAAAAAAGTGGTTTTAAGTTAAAAAAAATATCTTTTTTTTACTTTTGTAACTTTTTTATTATAGATTATACTTTTTCTTTTTTAAACTTCTTATAAATTTGTTTTTAATCCTTCTATAGAGGTCTAGAAAATGATACACTAAAATCACGCAATAGGGAGTTATTTTGACAGGTAGTAATAAGGTTTTCAACATATTTAAAATGGTGTTTATAAAAGAAAATGTTTGATTAAAAAAAATACATTATAAATCTGACAAATATAAAAATAAGTGACTCCTTTGCATACAAAATATGTTAACCCTACCTATGATACAGTATAGAATCCCTTAAATTATGTAATCAATTAATTAAATTGAATCAGTGTAAAACCATAATAATTGTTAAGGAAAAAATAATTAATAATACTTTTTATTTTCCATTATTTTGATGGGTTTTTAGTTGGATCTCTTTTGAATGTTGTGATAATTTTTATTGTAAAAAACGAATCACAATTTATTTTTTTAAAGCAGCTTTTTTCTTTTATTTTTTAACTAGAGGTAGCAAGAATTTTATTTATTTATTTACCAAGTGTAAGTTTTAATAAACATTTAATAAGATATTTTGTTTTTTCTCACCACTTCTACATTTAATATACTATTGTATCAAGCAGGCTCGTGCTGGCCCACCCGGCAACCGGGAGTTTCCCGGTGTGCCCTCATAAATTGTCCATAAGGGGCCCCACGAACACGACGCGTGATAAATTTAAGTTTAAGCTGTTATTATCAGGGACTTGTAACAAAAACTCGGATAAAAATGAAACAACGTTTTGGCGTTATCGTTCCGAGTAACATAAAAAAACATAATCAGAACATTGGAAATTGTTCCCAACAAGTAACAGAAGAGTAACGACACTGAAGGTAACAAAACTAGCAGAACCGATACACTGGGTATGGAAACAAAAGCAGCAACGCCATCTGAGTAACGAAATCGTAACAAAGCCTCTTGGTACATAAACTATCGAAGAAAACTATTAAGTACCTAGTAACGTTTTCTGTTGATGAATAAATGAAACAGTGTACTTATAAAATACCTTTATAATTTTGTAAATATTGAGTATTGTGCGACTCGTTGGAAAAAGAGGAAATTCCTCGAACGAAAAGTTAGTAACGCCAAAAATCGCACACGTGTTTTTTTATTCAGTTACCGAAAAAAATATATTATCTTTCCTGCGCCACATAGTCATTAGGTATACCTAATTGCGCGAGTTACCTGCACCATTTGCACGCGCGTCATAATTGCGCGATTTACCCGCGCTACTTGATTTACCTGTGCGACTTACTCGTGCGTCTTACGAGTTTTATCCGCGCGACATACCTGCGGCTTTCTAACCTTACCCAGTTAGTGTTACCAGTTTCGTTTCAATATCCTGTATTTCGGTAGTTGTTGCGCACCTGCAACAGTTTCAATAACAATTTTGTTAACCGTTAGCAAGATTTAGTTACTCGTTTTGGTACTATTAAGTATTATTTCTCAAAGTTTAGTAATCATTTTCGGGGGCGAATGTTTCGATTCAATTTAGTTTAGATCCACAGACCTATGTTTAGATCCTTACATGAAGAACGATACCTGGTATCGGATAACATAACAGAAATTAGTTACAAGTCCCTGGTTATTAGTGAGTAATGACGGCCCCAGCACGCGACGTAACATTTGAATCACAAACCCTTTCTCTAAATAACATAAAATTTAAGGCGTGGGAGGGCCCTGTAAGGGAATTATTTCCCGGGCCCTAAAATCATCCCAGCACGCGCCTGGTATCAAGTTACTTAATGTCATTTGTTGGATTGAAAAAACAGTTTTAACTAAGTATTTAAATAAATTTATCCTTACTTTTTTCCAAATATATATAAAAACAAAACAATAATCAAAAGGCCATAGACAAAGGACCTAGATACAATTTCAAAATTAATTTTAAATTCAGAAAAATAAAACTTTGGGTTCGTCGTAAGATACACTTATTATTAAGAATTTCTCAATATCACTTGTGGGGCATTCCACGTTACTCGGTAATTTTTGTCCCGCCCGTCACAATTAAAAATTGTGAGTAAAAACCACAAGTTATAAAATTAATATTTTATAATATTATTTTTATTGTGCTTATAACTTATTAAAAGCATAATAAAACAATATTTTTAAATAAATTTTATAACGTGTAGTTTTTACTCACAATTTTTAATTGTGACGGGCGGGACAAAAATCCCCGAGTAACCCTTGTGCATATAATTAAACTTGAGTTTTAATGCGTTTATAAAACTAGTTAGAATACATAATAATATTTTTTAAAACCCCTTATTTAACTAAAATCTTATCATTTATACATACTGACAGTGGCGTATTTAGGGGGGGGTCCGCCGGGTCCGGACCCCCCCCCCCCGGGCGCACATATTTTATTATTTTTATTACAAAAAAAAGTTAAAAAAAATAAAAACCTCAAGACTGTCAACGTACTTAATTATTTATTAAATATAAAATCATTAAAATAAAAAATCAACTACTTACGTATTAAAGAGAAAGAGGTGGTTTGGCAACCCTGTAGGTATATCGTTCCTACCTCTTTCTCCGAGAATAAATATTACATATTTAGTTAGTTTTTTTGGACCCCCCCCCGGAGCTAAATCCTAAATACGCCACTGCATACTGATATTTTAACCACTTGTTAGAGCATTCTAGAATTTGTTATTGATTTTAGGGCCCTAAATTTTTCGAGCACGTCCCTGTCAAAACGTGCGCAGGTGGGTGCAAAGCGTGAACTGTCAAAAATAAACAATTGTCAAGAAAACATCAAAAATGTTAGTTTAAAAATTAAAATTACAAAAATTAAAAAATAAAACAGGAACAACTTTTAATCACACACCTGGTGAGTACGGCTGACAATTTTATTTTATAAAACGAACCTTTCAAATGTTTGAACATATGTTTTCGTTGTATTGGATTTTTAAAGGTCTAGTTTATTTACTTAAATCAGTTCTATTAATAAAAGTTTTACTTTTATTATTGTGATACAATTAAGTCGCACTGACCTTAAGTGCTATTTTAAGATTTTTATATTATTACACTTGTACAGGTCTGTACCAAATTTTATTTTCAGCCCTAAGTCAAGATATACAAAAATGAATTTAGAAACTCCCATGAAGCCCATAGCAGTAAATATTTAGGATTCTCTATGATATTTGCATGGTTTTTTAGCAATTATAGCACGAAAATGGCTGAGTTGTACAAAATGCATGAAATTTATTTAGTAAATGTTTGTGGTGTTCACTTTAGATTAGAAGAAGATGTAAGTTAAAAAATAACGTTATTTATTCTTTTTCATAAAGGTGTAATAAGTCCACACGGTGAAACATTCTTAATATTCTTTTTTACATTTTTGCGCCCAACGTGAAAGGTTTTTAGAAAAATTTATGAAATTTTATTAAATTTAAAGAGTTTACAAACAAAACCATCACTGCTGTATTCAGTTAATAAAAATATTGTATTTTTGTTGGTAGGTACAACCTATAGGTTGTATTCATAAAATAAGAATGAGAAACCTGTCACCATAATATTATTGCTTAAAACCGGCTTATCACTGACATAAGTCATTATGATAAATATAATATATAGGTCATTAAAAATAGGCATAGGTCTGTGGTATAGAGCATTGACGTCGGAGGTTAATTAAATAAAATTACAAAAATTATTTTTCTTATTTATACACATTATGTGACGCGTCTTAAGAAGGGGCATAAGCGTCCCGGCCATAATTATCTGATATAAGAAATAATTTTCCTTGAATATTTTGCATTTAACAACGCGTTAAACATTCTCCGTTTGCGCTACCGTCTATCGCTTCCGCCTCTTAAGAAAGAAAATTTCCTTTCTCCTTTAACATAGATTAAGTAGTAAAGACTGCTCTTTTCTGCTGTCAGAAATAAAAAATAGAAATACAACATTAAACTGGGACTAAAATTCTTACTTTACCTGTTGTTTTTTCTTGTGTTTATTTTTATTATCAATATATAGGATTATTTTCTTATCATTTTCGTTACATGTGTATATATTTTGTCTCATAATATATTTAATCTTCAAGCGTTTTTTAATTTAAGCTTTGTTATTTTTAACACTCACTAAACAGCAAAAGGAAAATTATAGAAGTGTATAGGATGACGCCACGTTTGGATATAGTTTTCTAAACCCTCGCCACGGTATAGATTTGTATTCGTCAGTCGAGCGTTTCAGTACTCTCCACAGGATAGAGGTCCTAATTTGACTTTTGAACTAGTATTAATATGAAAATTATTTTATGCACGAAAAAAAATTATATACCACATGATAGTTATTTTTTTAATTTTATTAATTAATTAAGATGTGATTAGAAACATATTTTTGGACTTCCATTGTCTTTTTTATGCTTAATTTACAACGTTTCAATTGCTAAGTATCTGCAATCGTCTTCAGGTGATAATGACAAATTTAAAAACCACGAGATTATTTATACTATTGGTATTTTGTTCCGCTTGATCCGGTCGGGTGCATTCATGTTGAGTTCACCGATTCGTGCGATGGGGGGTTTCCATACTTCTTTGATTTCTACGATAGGGTGGCTAAAAATTGTAGAGTTATTTTCTATGTATGCTGCTTCCTTAAACTTCTTTCTTCAATATTGATTATGCCTGCCTCTTGCTACTTTATATTATGGTGTTCCTTCCAAGCATGTTCGGCGATTCCAGATTTTGTTGTTTCTGCTTTCTGAGTATGGGTTTTATGTTCTTTTATTCTTACTTCCAAAGGACGTTTAGTTTCACCCACATATAAATTATATGCAGTTCTTTGTATCATTTTTGTCGGTGGGTCTAGTTTTAGTAATTTTATTGTGAAATGAATTAGTCAAAAAATGACTACAGTTATTAGTGGCTGCTTTTTCACTTATACCATGGGTAACCATAAGATACCTTGATATCCCCAACCTTTAACAGTCAATTCTTATGTAAAATTGTCATCTGAATCCGAAAATACTATAAAATTATGAATGTAGAGAAGTTTTTGAGATATAGTCAATTCCATATCATATGGAAAATTGACTATATCTCACACTGTTCTGTTTTCAATATTTTTTACTAATTCATTTTTAGAGAGTGAGGTAGTCTAAAGCCATCTGCACAATAGCCCGGTAACGGGAATCTGAACAGTAAAGGTGGGAGAGTCCTTTATGGTTTATGTTTCTGGACAAAATGAGATTTGACTCTGGGCGTCCATTTTTCAATAACAATAAAATCAACAGAGTTTTTTTACTGCAGAAAAAAAATAACAATTTCTTGATGTAATAAAAAAACTATACAAACCATACAAAATAGAAAACATTATAACATTATGATCCTCTTTCGAAGTTGTACTTTTTGGAGTTGTGCTGATACAAAATCTCAGA